AGTCAGGTCTCGAACCCACGGGCTCAGGCAATCCACTCACCTCAGCCTCCCAAAGCGCAGGATTACAGGCTGCGCCATCGAGCCCAGCTGTCTTTGGCTTTCAACACTGTCACTATTTTCATCTCACAATCTAGTGGGGATGCACTGGGCCAGTAGTTATCCCCATTTGGTAGACAAGGAAACTGACATCCAGAAATATTCATTGGTATGTCTTGGTGTAAGGTGGTGGCTATGGATATGGTTTGTGAATTCAGAGAGATCTGGTTCAAGTCCCAGCTCGGGTATTTTCTAGATATGTAACCTTTTGGATATCACTTAACTTTTCTGAACTTCAGTTTCCTCACTTGTAAAATGAGGACATGGCTGGGCTCAGTGGCTCACCTGTAATCCCAGCATTTCGGGAGGCCGAGGAGAGTGGATTGCCTGAGCCCGTGGGTTCGAGACCAGCCCGGGCAACTTAGCGAGACCTTATCTCTACAGTAAATAAAAACTTAGCCAGTCATGGTAGCATGCCTATAGTTCTGGCTACTTGGAAGGCTGAGGTGGAAGGATCACCAGAACCCAGCAGGTCGATGCTACAGTGGCCATGAGTGTGCCACTGCATTCCAGCCTGGGCGACAGAGTGAGACACCAACTCAAAAAAAAAAAGAGGACAGAAATAGTTCTTACCTCAAAACATAATTATGAAGACTAAGATGGCTGGGTTCAGTGGCTCAGCCTGTAATCCCAGCACTTTGGGAGGCCAAGATAGTGGATTGCCTGAGCCTGTGAGTTCGAGACCCACCTGGGGAACTTGGCGAGACCTCGTCTCTACAATAAATCAAAAATTAGCCAGGCATGATAGCGCACGCCTGTAGTTCTTGGCTACTTGCAAGGTTCAGGTGGAAGGATTGCCAGAGTTCAGCAGGTCAACACTGGGGTGGCCGTGATTGTGCCACTGCACTCCAGCCTGGGCAACAGAATGAGACTCCAGCTTAAAAAAAAAAGACTAGCCGGGCTCGGTGGCTCAGCCTGTAATCCCGCACCTTTGGGAGGTTGAGGTGAGTGGATTGCCTGAGTCCACGGATTCAAGACCCGCCTGGGCAGCGAGACCTCATCTCTACAATAAATCAAAAAATCAGC